GCTTGTAAGCCAGAACCCTTTTGCAGCGCCTAAACCCTAAACCCTGAAGCCCCAACCTAAACTCTGAACTCCAAATCCTGAACCTGAAACCCGAGACCCTCACGATATCAGTCCTGAGCACCTCAGTGGTTTGGATCGCTTCTAGAAGCTTTGACATGCCTAGTGCTGAAGCACAATTTTCAGCTTGCCCGTTCTGATGGTCTTCTTCTCCCGTCCTAGTGCTCCTACTAAGGATACATCTTAGAGTGTCCCTAATCCCCAAACCCTAAGCCCCTAGAAGCATTTTATTCTGATGCTTTGCTTTACCATCCCATGACCTGGTGCTCTGACTACAAAGCCGCCAAAGCCCGATCCCAAACACACTCTCCCAACACACCTGCAGCAAAAAAACTGCCGGGAGCTCAGACATCTCAGGTGAAAAAGCTACAAACTCTGAGAGAACATGTCAAGAGATCCCCCCCTGCCACACAACAGTCCTAAACATCCTGAGTCGTACATGGACCCTGCGGAAAAACACCTTTCCTAGTCCCCAGAGAGCCCAATACCCCTTAAAAAGGAATAGACCTTATAACTCATAATAATAAGGTTCCCTATAACTTAAAGTATATTCCTTAATTACGGGGTATTGGGCTTTCTGGGTCTAGGACCCGAAGAGAAGAGAGGCTCTATCGGCCAATATTTTCAGAGTGGCGGGTTCCACGCGGCCTTTCCAAGCAAAATCTTGAACCTCACCCTAAACTACCAACACCGACTATCTTTGCAGGGTCCCTATACGTTCAATACTCGAGTTCATAAGAAAGACCTACAAAAAGGTAGGTTCTGGTAGTTTAGGTTAGGTAAGCCTTCATGCAATGCCAGGCAGCTCCTTCGCCTGGGGATTGAACTCTGCGGCCTTGCCCCCAGGGATTTTAGGTTGAATGCGAGCACTATCCCATTTCTGGACCCAGTCGCTAAGTAGCCGTTTCTCATCCTTTTCCCCTCTGTTGCCTGATTCCTGGGAGGAGTTCCGCTCCATTTCCTCCAATGGTTTATGTCTTACTTTGGGAGGATCCAGGCTTATTCTGAAGGTAGACCACGCCCGGAAAACGAAATCAATTTCATCCTACCGGCACGGGGCATGAATCCGACGGAACGATCGTTGCGGTATCACGCGTGCCGGCTGCAACGCTTTGCAAGAGGCTGAGGGCAAAGACTCCCAAGTTCTGCCGACTTCTAATAGGGTCGAACTTGGAGGTTGTGAGATTGTTGCGATCACAGGACAGAAGTCCTAGTCCTAAATGGGCTTGAGAGCTCCCAAAATGTGAATCCTCCGCGGTTCTTCGTATGTGGGTGGGGGGGGTGCTTGGAGGTTCATGGGCAGTTATAAGTAGGGTTATAAGTCCCTTATAACCCTACTTATAACTACCCATGAACCTCCAAGTGGGGGGGGTGAGCATGATTCGTCCCTTGCCAGGCCTGATACTCCACGACCCAGGCCCCCCCAACCCCCAAAACTATGACTTAATAACGTAAGCCAACTGACACCTTAGAACCCCAAACCCCAAAATGACTCCCGAACCCCTAAACCCCCGCATCTAGATCCTTAACTAGACCCTATAGACCCTAAACCACTCATGAAAGACCCCCCCGCCCAACCAACAACGGGCCTGGGGGTTGAAATTCCAGGGCGCCGAGGTGTTTCCTGCAGCCACCCAGTTTAGGGCGTGGGATTTTAAGGCAAGAGCTCTGAAATTAAAAAATAGACCGAAGTATATGGGGATCCTTACTATACTTTATAGCATATACTATATGACTATAAGGAGTAAACCTTAAACTGTAAGGGGTCCTTATCATGAGCTAAGGCATTATCCTTATGGACCTTATAGGGACAACCAGGAGGCAGCCAATGTTGTTTGACGAAAGCGATTCTGGGGTTGTCAGGTACAAGAAGGGATCCAGAAATGTAAGAGTTTTCTAGAAGAGATTATGATAAGGTCTAAGGGTTTAGCTTTTATCGGAGCTGCCTGGACCCCGAATAGGCCACCTTGCTGAGGACTTTTATAAAGGAAATCAGAGTAGGGAGCCCTAAACAGCTAAAAAAGGGACGGTTTTGTAGGGCCAAGGTCAGGGTTCAGGGTTCAGGGTTCAGGGTTTAGGGTTTAGGGTTCAGGGTTTAGGTTGTCGTTTAGATCTGCTGGGGCATAGGTTCCAACGGACTCAACAAATGGCAGACTGCCCTCTGACAGCTAAGTGAGGTCATGCATAGCATACTCCAAGGATCGTGGGACTTAGTAACTATATATTATTTATAAGTAGGGTAACTACAGATAGACAGACGTATAACCTTACAAAGTCCCATGATCCCAAGTAGTCGTTCACATTCCTTACTAACCAGGTATCCTGGATAGAGGAGGATCGGCTTCTCAAGAGTGACATAAGCTTGAAACTAGGACTGCTGCACTCCCGGATTTTTGAACAACTGAAACATAAGCCTTTAGGGTTTAGGGTTTAGGGTTAAGCCTTCCATGCCACCCATCTCGTTCATGTCCACGGCGACCCACTGTCCGTATTCATAGTCGTAGTCTTCGCCGCCTGGAAGCAAGAGCCTCTCTCCTAACCGAAACCCACAGCCGATCTGCGAATCCAAACTTTCGGAACAGGTATATTACGGCATAAACAGAAAACAAAATCGAATTCAATCTTACGAGCAGTATGATCATTGCTGTTGGTATTATATGTCCCTATGCCCTAAACCCTAAACCTTCGTTTGCTACCAGGCTTGAGGACTAGCCAGATCCGCTCGACGTCTATCAGTTTAGGGTTTAGGGTTTAGGGTTTAGGGGAGTCTATCATCATGAAACCCTAAGCCCTGAGCCCTAAACGACACTGTCGCAGTGACTCTCGCAACTCGCACAAGGCAGGCAAGGCTTCACAACACGCCCCTGAGGATTCTGAGGTTTTGGTTTTAGGGTTTAGGGTTTAGGAGCCGGTTGTTGAGATGCTCGATGCTCGACCCTGGTAATTCTGCAATCCACCAAGAAACTGATCCAGAAACGTTGTTGAACATATGGGGATTTCCGAAAATAGG